ACGCTTGAAGTGAGTGTGGACGTGGTATGGTGAACTTGAATGAGTGGTGTTGAACAGGAGGTGAGTGTGTCTTGAGGCCTGAAGTGAGTGTGGACGTGGTATGGTCGACTTGAGTGAGTGGTGTTGAACAGGAGGTGAGTGTGTTTTGACGCTTGAAGTGAGTGTGGACGTGGTATGGTGAACTTGAATGAGTGGTGTTGAACAGGAGGTGAGTGTGTCTTGAGGCCTGAAGTGAGTGTGGACGTGGTATGGTGAACTTGAGTGAGGGGTGTTGAACAGGAGGTGAGTGTGTCTTGACGCTTGAAGTGAGTGTGGACGTGGTATGGTGGACTTGAATGAGTGGTGTTGAACAGGAGGTGAGTGTGTCTTGAGGCCTGAAGTGAGTGTGGACGTGGTATGGTGGACTTGAGTGAGGGGTGTTGAACAGGAGGTGAGTGTGTCTTGACGCTTGAAGTGAGTGTGGACGTGGTATGGTGGACTTGAGTGAGGGGTGTTGAACAGGAGGTGAGTGTGTCTTGACGCTTGAAGTGAGTGCGAGCAGGGCCTGTGTGGGTCTCCACTTGACACTTTCTACCGACCAATTACCACGGTGGAAACAGCCAACCAATCTCATGCTGGAGGCCCCAGGAGGACCGGCGTTCATGATGCCTTCTCACCAAATCCCAATTTGGCGGAAGCTGGGCCAGTGCCGCCTGGATTTCTGCAGAATGCGGGAGGTCCGGTAGAATTCATCTGGCTTCAGTGATCGTGGTGATGGGTGGACAGTCCTCCACTCGTCGCAGGGAGCTGGCAAAACAACAGGGAGTGGCTCTTCTAAACAAGAGAATGAAGGAGGTGTGGGAGCGTGGAGGCGAGGTGTGGGAAGCTGGGAGTTCCAGGCTGCTGTGGACTCGCCTCCCAATCACAAAAAGGCGAGGTGGCGGCTTACACCACCGAAGATGAATATCAGTGGAGGGACGCAGACCAGGCCGATGGGTCAGATGCCTTCTATGACCTCCTATCCCAGGTGCTGGCTAAAGTGACCCCTCGGGATAGAGTCATCCTGTTGGGTGACTTTAATTCCCGAGTAAGTCATGACAAAAGCACTTGGGCCGGATTGATTGAAAGATATGGGCCAGTTCAGCTCAATAACAACGGTAGTGGGCTGCTAGACTTCTGTGCAGCCCATGGGCCTGTAATCACCAATGCCCTGTTCTGGCAACGGCGCATCCCCACAACATCATGGATCGGTGGGCTCTCATGAAATTGCCTTTTCCGAGACCAAGGTTCTCTGCAAACCTCCTGGCTACCATCAAAGGTTTGTACACGAAGCCATACAAATATACAAACACAGACATAATTTCAACCGTGATGATGGTTACAAACTGAGTAATCATTGGAAAGATGTGATTAACCATGCAAAAAAAGATTTAACTACACTTAGTTGGCCAATCTTATTTGACAGACTATTACAGGTTTACTATGTTTAGTGGTTGTCTCCTTGTCACAGGTTGAGTCACAAACCGTACCTCTCCATAACAAAGGCTCACCCTCTTAAGCCTCACCTTACCATATGAATAAAAGTGTGCTGTACTTGGCCCTTCCCCCCCTCTCCAACCATTATATATACGGAGTGGTAGCTCCTGCAATCTCTCATTTACTTGATACAGCTGTCGTGGCTGTGACGGTTCCACCTGAAGACGGAAGCTTGTGTTGCCTCCGAAACGTCGTGATTTTTATTTTATTTTACTTTTATTAATTGTAATGTTTTACCTACGTGACTTTACCGAAAAAACCTAAGAATATCATTACCATTGTCTGGCCCACAGGTCTGAAGTTTTTTGTTCCGTTCCCGGTGTTCCTCGACCCGATGGCTGCCCACGTGATGGACTCACTCCTCCTCCTCCCCCTGCTCCTTCTGCTCCTCTTCCTCCGCCACAGAAGAGGGCTCCGGTTTTGAGCAGCTGCGCCAGGAGTTGATCCACACCGCCCCCCCCCCCCCCCCACGGTGCGCGGTGGTGGTGACAGGTGTACAGGTGTGCTTAGACTGCGCGACCCCTCTCACCTGGAGCTCGGTGGGGGCGAGGGGAGGGGCGTGTAACGCATTAAAAGCAACGGTGCTCGGGTGGGAATGCTGCTCACTCCATGGCTTTCGTTTCTGACTGGGAGTGGGACCTCTAGAGAGGGACGTCAATGGCTTTGGTGGCAATGCTGTTCTCTTCACGGCTATCGGACTGACTGGGAGTCTGATCTTGACGGAGGGAAGTCAATAGCTCAGGTGGGAATGCTGCTCACCACACGGCTATCGGACTGACCGGGAGTCGAACCTGTACGGAGGGGAGTCAGTGGCTTGGGTGAGCAAAGTTCTGGACAGTAATTGACCCCATGCATCAATGTTTTTTTAATGAGCAGGCAATGTCTCTCCACATCAGCAAAATACCAATACAGTCTATATTGTCTGCCTATCTAAGCAGCCCCACCGCCTTCTGTGAGTGCATAATCGCAGCAGCATTGATTCAGTCCAAACAACACTCTGTGACCGGTTTAGATATTCAGTGTCTCATCAGTAGCAGAGTCAGGCTCGCTTCAACCCAATGCTGGTGAACTGTCAGATGTTCATAGGCAAGGAGTGGTTTTGACAGCCAGCTATGGCTACAGGGTTTGGTGGTACATGTTGTTTATGTCGTTTATTGTGAAATTTCGGTCACAGTTCCTATGATCACTGTTACATTGCTTTTATGGCTTTATTTTGGTGATTTCAAAAGTTTTTGGGTTTGGCCATGTTTGTTTGTTGTAGTACGGAGTTAGACTGATGGCTTTGATCTAAGTTGTCTTGTGGTGGTTGTTGTTTGACTTGCATCACACTGGGATTTTTGCACACAGCGTTGGTATACGGTGCTTTTTCTGGAAGTTTTTGCTGTTTTTTGATGATTTTCCCTGGATTTTTCTGTTTGCGCGTAGTCACTTTAAGATGTTTTCTTGTTCATGTTTTTATTTTTTGTTTGTTACGGTTGCACCCAATTCAAGAGCCGAATGGCTCCCAGGGCTATACCAAATAAATGAAACTGAAACTGAGACATCCAGTTTCTGTTCAGCAGCAGTCGGATTCACTTGAACAGTGCTGGTGAACTGCCCAGATGTTTAATATGCAAGGACCAGTTTTGACTTTCAGTGTCTCATCAGCAGCAGTCAGGCTCGCTTGATCCCAATGCTGGTGAACTGCCCAGATGTTTATAGCCATGAGCCCTGCCTCTCCATGCAACATGTAAGTGGTTTCGCGGGGCTGATGGCTCGTATACGATATGCAATACCGCTATTGTGTATGCAGAGAGGCAGATCTGCGTTTTGTTCCCGACTATGTAAACTTTATAAATCAGTTCGTATGATTTTAGGATTAATTCCTGGTAGAATAACCTTGGATTATTTTTGTAGACATGCACCGTACATTGCACTTGTCTTACGTCTAATGCGCACATCCAACCAAATGTACGTCAGTATCTCGAATAACAATAACACGATTACATTGTCTTCTGGTTTATTAATTTTCGGACACCCTCTACATTATTTTAAGGCTACAGTGTTGTTGACGGATGTTACGGAGTTTGTTATTTGTGATAGTTGGTACTGATGAGGCGGTCATAATTATCGTGGTAACCATTTTTGAGTTGATGTTGATGGTGACCGCTCATGGTGATGTTGAATACTGATGATGATCGTTGTTAAGGATTGTTGATGATGGTGTTGATTAATGATTATGGTTGTTGTTGATTATGATTGTTGTTGATAATGTTTCTTGATGATTTTGATTGTTGTGGATTATCCTGGTGATTTTTGGTGATTATATTCTCCTGTTGCGAATCATGGCAGTAGCAGCAGCAGCAGAAACATGTCCAGGGGCCAGATGGCGATGTGGAGGTCCTGCTGCTGCTACTGCTGCGACTGCTGCTGGCCACGACGAAAGGTCTTCAGCAGAGAGAGAGAGAGTTCGTGTGCGGACGCTCTTCTGCTTCTCCGTCGAAGAAGCTCAGACCACAGTGGCTTGACTCAATGGTCTATAGCTTTTTGGTGATAACAAGGCCGTGGCCTTGGAGTCAACATTGGGGGGGACCAAATCTTCCAGGGGGTCTGGGTGCCAGAAATAAATATAAACTTATTTCCTGCCTAAAATATAAAAAAATTCACGAACACATAGGATGGACTTTTATTTTTTTTTTTACAATAATGTCTAATAGTGTATTATATTACATTGCTTTTTCTTGTTATTGTATGTAATGGCAGAGATTAGGGATTCATAAAGTACAACCATAACCACAATCATATAAACATAATCTATGCATTGTTTTGAAGACAAGTCCAGATACTGTGGCCAAGGTTTAGCAAATAGTTGTTTTTGTTTACATAGCATCGCAATTATTATTTGTAAAAATATTTTTATAGCAATATATGGAGGGGGCATATTTGATTATTGGGGGATGTGTCCCCCCCAATATATATTATAATTACGGCCTTGGTTGATAACGATGGTTGATGATGGTGGTTGTTGTTGAAGATATTGATGATTGTCGATGATGATGATGATGTTGGTGATGTAACTGTGCCGGTCTCTCTCTGCAGATAAGACCATAGCGAGAGGTCTCTCTCTCTCTCTCCGCCACCTCGGAGGACAGCACGCGGGGGGACATGGAATCCGGCCTGAGCGTGACTTGAGGCGGCGACCCAGGCCACCTCCTGGCCCGGAGGCCCGATCCTCGATGGTGGCGGTCACGGCAGCGGTGGTGGTGGCCTCAGAGACTCCTCTGCCATCGCAGAGCCCGACCTCCCCGTCTACCCGTGGACTCTTCCCCTCTTCTCGTCGATGCTCTTCTCAATATTCGCGGTCGGCTCCGTGGCCAACGCGCTGGTGCTGTTCGTGACGGTGCGGCAGCACCTGCGGGACCGCACCGCGACGGGCACCGCCGCCGCCAGCCGCCACCACCACCACCATCCCCATCCTGAGCCTGAGCGTGGCCGACTCCCTCGTGATGGCCGCGCTGCCCCCCTGGGGCCTCTACGTGCGCGACGGCTACGCGTGGCCGCGCGGCGCCGCCGCCGCCCATCTGTGCCGCGCCTCTGGCCTCTCGCTGCTGCTCGGCCTCTTCGCGAGCGCCCTCACGCTCAGCTGGATCAGCGTGGAGCGCTGCGCCGTCGTGCTGGCGCCCGCCTCGGCGGCGCTGCTGCGCTCGCCGCGCGTCTCCGCCGCGGCGCTCTGCGCCTCGTGGCTGCCGTCGGCCGCCCTCGCCGCGCTCCTCACGGCCGACGTCTCCGCCTACGCCCGCGCCAACGGCACCGGCGGCGCCACCGTGTGCGGCTACGCCGCCGAAGACCGCTTCGCCATGTGGAGCCTGGGCAATCGGCCGGGTCGCGGGCTGCTGCTCAACCTCGTGGGCTTCGCGCTGCCCTTCGCGGTGCTCGGCGCCAGCTACGGCGCCGTGTGCCGGCGGCTGTGCGCCCTCTCGCGCTTCGGCGGCAGCCGCATCCCCAAGGACAGCGTCCTGCGCCTCCTCTTCGCGCTCACCGTCGTCTTCTGCGTCACCTGGTGCCCCTACACGGCGGTGAACCTCTACTCGAGCGGCGGCGGCGGCTTCGGCGGGGTCCGGAGCGGCGACGAGAGGACGGCCAACACCGTGGGCGAGCTGTGCATGGCCGTGGGCCTCCTCAACAGCGCCCTCAACCCGCTCCTCTACTGCCTGTGGACGCGCCGCAACTGGCAGCAACTGCTGCCGCGCGTCCCCGCGCTGTGCGCAACGCGGCGGCCCGCCAGGGTGGGCGCCTCCGTGTGAGCGGCCACACGGGAAGACCGCCGGGGGGGGGGGGGGGCAGCGGGGGCTCACGTGGCCAGCACGTGGATGGGCAGTGGTGGAAGGTAGAGGTCCAGTGGTGGAGCTCCAAGTGGTGGAGCTCCAAGTGGTGGAGCTCCAAGTGGTGGAGGCTCCAAGTGGTAGGAGGTCCGAGTGGTGGAGGCTCCAGTGGTGGAGCTCCAAGTGGTGGACGTCCACTGGTGGAGGTCCTGTGGAGGTTGGAATTTACTGATGGAATAGCATCGGTGAGAAGGCTGTGGTGGCAGGGCGGGTGCTCCCTGCTGTGTGTGTACCAGAGTGAAAAAGAAGAAATGTCAGGGACAGCTCTGTGGTATCCTCTTCTCAGGGTCGTTCTGTGTGGACCATTGTCACTTGTAGAAGGGATGTCAGAGGTCGCTCTGTGGTACCCACTTCTGAGGGCCGCTGTTCTGTCACACGCGCGGTGGCGTTGCGCTGCTCCGAGAGATTTCCCGAATGGATTCTCCCTCCCAACTGGGAACGAGCCCGTGAGTCCTCACACCGTTTCGCGAGCACACATCATCATCATCATCACCACCACACACCTGCTTTCTTGTCTCTGCACTGGCCACCAGTTAAGTATCAAGTGGAAGGACTACAGATCCTCCTGCTCACCTACACGGCTCTCAATGGGTTAACCCCAACGTATTTAGAGGAACCGCTCCATGTTGACTCTCCAACGAGGTCCCCGATCGCCTTCTTCTAAGGACTCCGAGGTCAAGGCTCTGTGCCTGGGGTGATCGCGATTTTGCCAGTGTGCAACTCCCAAGCTGTGAGTGGGTGGTTGAGTGAGTGAGCGAGAGAGCGGGTGGGGAGGTGGCTGGTTGCCTGGGTGAGTGGGTGGATGAGTGGGTGGGTTGCTGGTTGCCTGGGTGAGTGGGTGGGTTGCTGGTTGCCTGGGTGAGTGGGTGGGTTGCTGGTTGCCTGGGTGAGTGGGTGGGTGAGTGATCAGGCTTTACCACTGCACAGCTCCCAAGCGGTGGAACGCTCTGTCTTTGGTAATAAGGCAATCAGAATTGCTAGATACATTTAAGTCCTGTCTTGTGGGTGAGTGGGTGGGTGAGTGAGTGAGTGAATGGGTGGGTGAGTGGGTGGGTGAGTGAGTGGGTGAGTGAGTGGGTGAGTGGGTGTGTAAGTCGGTAAACCAGCCTTTACCCCCCACCTAGTTCTGTCTGTCTACACTGCAAGTTTTGTTATTCATTGGTTTTCCACACACGGCGGCGCATTGGTGGGATCTACGGATGAAATGTGCCACTTTAACAAATGTACATTACAATTCGTATTGTTAAAGACAAAGGGCTGTACGTACGGGCGACGAGATGGCCGGCTCGTTGCAAAGATTTGCGGCTCGATTCTGGCAGGTTGTCCTGGTTAATGCTGCGGTGCTTATTAATCGTAAAAAACGACTACTACTACTACATGCCGTCTGCTTTATAACAATAAGCACCACGTGCATTTGAACCTTATGGCGGGACCCCGAGGTCCCGAATAAACGGAAGTCAACATCGTAATTATTATTTTTATTTTTGGCGACTCCGTCCCACCGCGCACATAAACGCCGCGACCCACCTGGCGTGGATCATTCTGTTGTCGTGTCATCCAAGCGCAGCAGCGAGGATGAATGCGCAGAAGAGCTGAACAAGCGAATGCACTGCTTGTTCGGGTATGGGCAGGATCATAAGTCTCATCCAAAGCTGCTCAAACTGCCTACACGACTTAGGTCCTCTATTAGTCATCACGGTATGCACAATACAGTGAAACTGCTCTCTTATCTTCATTAGTATTTGTAGCCAGGATCAATCGATGAGAATCATATTACCTGCAGATATTTAAGAGATGAGATGCGTTGCACCGTTAATTTCTCCTGTTTGATAAAGCTTCTCTGTCTTGATTTGAAGCTTTCGTGACTGCAGGAATCCATACTCTTTGGTTCTTTCGGTAAAGTCACGTAGGTATAAAATAAAATAAGTCACGACGTTTCGGTCTGCTGCTAAGGCATACTGTTTTAAAATGTTTGAAATGGGTGGAGCCTAAGGGTCATAAAGAAGTGGCCAGGGCTAGTGATGTTAATGTGAGAAATGAGCATGTAACTGTAAGATAGGAGTAGAGCGGCCTCCTCGACGATGGCACGGAAGTGGCTATGTTATTGTGAGAGATTAGCATGTTAATGTGAGAAATTAGAGCACACGGAAGTTGCTATGTTAATGTGATAAATTAGAATGTAACTGTAGAAAAGAAGGAGAGCGGCCTCCTCGACGAGGGAGTGCAACCCCACGGGTGTAATCCAAAGGGCCTGTGAGCATGAGAGTGCAATCCAAAGGCAAGAGAGTGCAATGCAACGGACATGTGAGCATGAGAGAGACAGAGAGACACAAAGAGTCGAAATAACAGCTGACATAGGCAGGTAGGATGGAAGCATCACAGTCAGTTAAGACTTTACCTGGTTAATAACGTCCTTCCAATGATTACTCAGTTTGTACCCATGCTCTCGGTTGAAGTTGTGTCTGTGTTTATATATCTGGGTGGCTTCATGAACAAATCTCTGAAGGTAGCCAGTGGGTTTGCAGAGTACCTCCGTCTTGGAAAAATCAATTTCGTGTGAGCCCACAGCATTAAAACAATGATCGGCAACGGCAGAGATATTGGTCCTACCGTGTTTCAGATCTGCCTTGTGTTCACGAACGCGGTCCGAGACATGTCGCTTCGTTTCCCCAATGTAACTGCTGCAGCAAACCACAACTCAGTTTGTAGACGCCAGGGTATTGCATGTCAGGAATCACATCTTTTACAGATGGGATTAAATCACGGATTTTGTGTACTGTATTGAAACGAACCTGGATCTTGTGTTTGTTTAAGATTTTGGAAATCGTTTTGGTAACCCCTGCTATGTACGGTAAAGTGATGGTTATGGTTGGATCCTCAGAAGGTTGTCTCCGCATGGCTGGGGAAGACAGCTTTGCGGATTGTACGGTCCGACTACCCGTTCATCCTGAGGGCTTGGTGTACGTGCTCCAACTCACTGGCTAGGTGGTACTGGTCGGAGATGCAACGGGCCCTATGGTGTAGTGTTTTGATGAGGGAATTATTCTGGGCCAGATGGTGGTGGGAGTCAGGCTTTAGATAGGCATCCGTGAGGGTGGCTTTCCTGTAGACCGAATGTCCCAACGAGCCATCAGGTCTCTTCTCGATCAAAACATCCAGGAATGGTAGCTTGCCATCCTTTTCACTTCAATGGTGAATTTGATAGACGGATGTATGGAATTGATGCGATTGAGAAATTGGTTCAGTGCTGGCAGGCCATGTGGCCAGATGACAAACGTGTCATCTACGTATCTCTTCCACAAGGAAGGACGTAGGGTGGATGTCTGGATGGCATCTGTCTCTTGTCCGTATTCATCTGTGCAGATAGGTTTTTTTTTTTTGCGGTTAAGCCATAGTCCCCACATGCCACTCGTATCAATGCAGATAAGAGGAGCGGCGACCCACTACTCTGTAGAGTAACATTGGTATAAACGCCTGTTACAACATGAACAGCGCATTGAAAACGCGTACTGTTTTATGTACTCTTTACAAAGTGTGTTCACAGATCCACACTGATAAATACGTTGATTGACAGAGGGGTGTAAATAATTTTTTCGATAGTGTATTTAAATAGAGGTACGGCAGTTTTCAGTTTAAAAGGCGTAGTTTAACAAGACAACACTTACTCTTTGGTTCTTTCGGTAAAGTCACGTAGGTATAAAATAAAATAAATTAAATCACGACGTTTCGATTGCAACACAAGCAATCATCACCGAAAGAACCAAAGAGTATGGATCCCTGCAGTCACGAAAACTTTAAATCAAGACAACACTTGCCACCATCCTTCAAACCCCATTTGTGAAAAAGATCAAAGTTTTTGTTCACATTATAATAAAATGTTTACATTATAATATAATGTTGACATTATCGTGCACAGCAAGAATGAGATCCCCCCTCCCGCCAGACGAATACACAGGGGCAGCTGCCACAGGGGGTGCACTAGGCGAGACCACACATCAACAATCATCGCCCCGACTGAATCTCCCGCAGGATGTATCTGTGACCCCTTCCTGCGCGATGGCTGCCGCTTGCCCTGTAAGAATGTAAGCGATGATACCTCATGTACTAAGCTGCTCTTATTCATCAGCATCATCACCACCGATATTAAATCACTACCGCTGAATCTCCCTGTGTGTCTATCGCATGGTTAGAGAATGCAGGGCACTGGCGTCATAGACATTGGCACCACAGTGGCGAGATGTTAACTACCTCGCCTGGTCTACAGGAGGTCGTGGGTTCAATCTCGACTCTGACGCCTGTTGTATATTTGGAGTTTGCGTGTCTCTCTCATCATCATCATCACGGTGGCTAGGAAATGTTAACTACCTTGCCTGGTGTACAGGAGGTCGTGGGTTCGATCCCGACCCTGATGCCTGCTGCTGTATATTTGGAGTTTGCGTGTCTCTCTCCTTGTTGTTGCGTGGATTTTTCTTCGGGTCCTCCGTTTTTTTCCCTCCACATTTAGAAACACGCATTTAGATTATTTGGCTGCTACAAATTTCCACATGATGATGATGAGAAGCCACTTTCCTTGGGCTATCATTTGTGGCCAGGTCGCTTCTGAAAATAAAGTTGTGTAGCTCAGTTGGCCTTACCTGGTAAAATAAATAGTAGTAGTTTATAGCATAAAGACAGTTATCCCTGCACACTTCGTGGATTCGTTCTATCGCTTGACAGCGCCCATATCACTGACCGCACGAGTTGTCTTTATTTATCTATTCATTTATTCGTCAGAACAACGGGGGAGCAATGGTGCAGATACACACACGGGCGATCATGCTGTAACAGGACACATTTCAGTAACAGACAACAAGCTCGTTCACTCGCTCGCCCACACGCATGAGACGGTCCTCACGCCCAGGATTATCACGTGGTACCACCACAACCACGACCACAACGATCCAGACACGGAATCGGAGCACGGGGAACGTTGAGAACCATGGCGAGAGAGAAAGAGAGAAGGACAACGCGGCAACATGAAACAGCGCGCGACGAGGAGGGAGAACCGGCCTCACGTTTCCGGAGGAGGAGGTGGGGTGGTCTGTGACGAGCGAGCAGGTCCCACTACACGTGGGTCAGAGACAAGGAACCCCGTGAAACCCTCAACCTGGTCTGTTTAGACGCCACTCAGCCACATCGAGACGTGTTGTGAGGGTCTCCCTGAGTCACATCAAGACGTGTTGTGAGGGTCTCCCTGAGCCACATCCAGACGTGTTGTGAGGGTCTCCCTGAGTCACATCAAGACGTGTTGTGAGGGTCTCCCTGAGCCACATCCAGACGTGTTGTGAGGGTCTCCCTGAGTCACATCGAGACGTGTTGTGAGGGTCTCCCTGAGTCACATCGAGACGTGATGTGAGGGTCTCCCTGAGCCACATCCAGACGTGTTGTGAGGGTCTCCCTGAGTCACATCCAGACGTGATATGAGGGTCTCCCTGAGTCACATCGAGACGTGTTGTGAGGGTCTCCCTGAGTCACATCAAGACGTGATATGAGGGTCTCCCTGAGTCACATCGAGACGTGTTGTGAGGGTCTCCCTGAGTCACATCCAGACGTGTTGTGAGGGTCTCCCTGAGTCACATCCAGACGTGTTGTGAGGGTCTCCCTGAGTCACATCCAGACGTGTTGTGAGGGTCTCCCTGAGTCACATCAAGACGTGTTGTGAGGGTCTCCCTGAGTCACATCGAGACGTGTTGTGAGGGTCTCCCTGAGTCACATCAAGACGTGTTGTGAGGGTCTCCCTGAGTCACATCAAGACGTGTTGTGAGGGTCTCCCTGAGTCACATCAAGACGTGTTGTGAGGGTCTCCCTGAGTCACATCAAGACGTGTTGTGAGGGTCTCCCTGAGTCACATCAAGACGTGTTGTGAGGGTCTCCCTGAGTCACATCGAGACGTGTTGTGAGGGTCTCCCTGAGTCACATCAAGACGTGTTGTGAGGGTCTCCCTGAGTCACATCAAGACGTGTTGTGAGGGTCTCCCTGAGTCACATCAAGACGTGTTGTGAGGGTCTCCCTGAGTCACATCAAGACGTGTTGTGAGGGTCTCCCTGAGTCACATCCAGACGTGTTGTGAGGGTCTCCCTGAGTCACATCAAGACGTGTTGTGAGGGTCTCCCTGAGCCACATCCAGACGTGTTGTGAGGGTCTCCCTGAGTCACATCAAGACGTGTTGTGAGGGTCTCCCTGAGTCACATCAAGACGTGTTGTGAGGGTCTCCCTGAGTCACATCGAGACGTGTTGTGAGGGTCTCCCTGAGTCACATCAAGACGTGTTGTGAGGGTCTCCCTGAGTCACATCCAGACGTGTTGTGAGGGTCTCCCTGAGTCACATCGAGACGTGTTGTGAGGGTCTCCCTGAGTCACATCAAGACGTGTTGTGAGGGTCTCCCTGAGTCACATCAAGACGTGTTGTGAGGGTCTCCCTGAGTCACATCAAGACGTGTTGTGAGGGTCTCCCTGAGTCACATCAAGACGTGTTGTGAGGGTCTCCCTGAGTCACATCAAGACGTGTTGTGAGGGTCTCCCTGAGTCACATCAAGACGTGTTGTGAGGGTCTCCCTGAGTCACATCAAGACGTGTTGTGAGGGTCTCCCTGAGTCACATCCAGACGTGTTGTGAGGGTCTCCCTGAGCCACATCAAGACGTGTTGTGAGGGTCTCCCTGAGTCACATCAAGACGTGTTGTGAGGGTCTCCCTGAGTCACATCAAGACGTGTTGTGAGGGTCTCCCTGAGTCACATCAAGACGTGTTGTGAGGGTCTCCCTGAGTCACATCAAGACGTGTTGTGAGGGTCTCCCTGAGTCACATCGAGACGTGTTGTGAGGGTCTCCCTGAGCCACATCCAGACGTGTTGTGAGGGTCTCCCTGAGTCACATCGAGACGTGTTGTGAGGGTCTCCCTGAGCCACATCCAGACGTGTTGTGAGGGTCTCCCTGAGTCACATCAAGACGTGTTGTGAGGGTCTCCCTGAGTCACATCAAGACGTGTTGTGAGGGTCTCCCTGAGTCACATCAAGACGTGTTGTGAGGGTCTCCCTGAGTCACATCAAGACGTGTTGTGAGGGTCTCCCTGAGTCACATCGAGACGTGTTGTGAGGGTTTCCCTGAGTCACATCAAGACGTGTTGTGAGGGTCTCCCTGAGTCACATCCAGACGTGTTGTGAGGGTTTCCCTGAGTCACATCAAGACGTGATATGAGGGTCTCCCTGAGTCACATCAAGACGTGATATGAGGGTCTCCCTGAGCCACATCTCGATGTGCTATGAAGGGTGTCCGAGAGCCACCGCAGAAGCCGAACCAGCGCGAGGAAGGGAGAGATGACGGCACGGGACGAGCATCGACCGCGACCGTGCGTCGAGCGGACGCCAGGAGCCCGCCACGGGGAGCGAGGAGGGCGCCGACAACGATTTACCGAGGCCCACGGGTCCTGAGTGGGCGCCGCGTGGCCGCCCACCACCACGGGGCAGGGGGCACGTGGAGGGGTGGGCTCGTGCGGGGGGGGTGCTTGGGGGGGCGCGTGGGGGGCACGTGGGGGGTGCGTGGTGGGGGTGGAGGGGGCACGGGGGGGAGCGTTGTGGGGGTGGAGGGGGCGTGGGGAGGGCTCGTGCGAGGAGGGGTCGCTTTGGGGGCGTGTGGGGGGCACGTGATGGAGATGGAAGGGGTACAGGGGGGAGCGTGGTGGGGGTGGAGGGGCCACGGGGGGTAGCGTGGTGGGGGTGGAGGGGGCGCGTTCGGGGCACATGGGGGGCACGTGATGGGGGTGGAGGGGGCGTGTGGGGGAGCGTGGTGGGGGTAGAGGGAGCATGTGGGGGAGCGTAGTGGGGGTGGGAAGGGAGCGTGGGGGGGGGGGATGAGGAGGGGGCGTGGGTGGGGGGCACGTGGGGTGGGGGGGTACCCTTGGCTCTGTGTGCCCACCGCGTGCTCTGTCAGTGGGGACCTGGCACCCCCCCCCCCTCTTGTTTCTAGACATTTATATTTTACAACATTGATTCAAACACGTTTTATTTTAAAATATTTATTTTAAAAAAATTCACCCCACCCCCTCTAAATAATATTGTAGCCCCACTTCCCAAAAAGAGACTTTCACCCATCACCTGCTGTAGGTGAGGTAAGGGTGAGTTGATAGTGAGGTAAGGTAAGGATGAGGCTAGGGTTAAGTGAGGGTGCGGTGAGGAGGTGACGGTGTGGTGAGTGTGTGGTGAGGGTGTGGCGAGGGTGTGTTGAGTGTGTGGTGAGGGTGTGAATCTCAGTTTCACCCTCACCCCAGGCTCTTGCCAACCCCATCGCCACCATCACCACCAATGTCATCATCAGGGTTCTGCTGCACAAGGACGGATGTGCTGAACGAAGTTCGTGCACTCTCCCCTACAGACACAGACAGAGACACAGAGACAACGCGATGCAGATGAAGACACAGAGCCATGTACATGCACAGCCCCTGTGCCATTACAAAAAGACGAAGATCCCAAGTGTAACCGAAGCAAACGGTAGGGGCAAGTGCTGTTAGCGAGCAGCGCCTATGAAGGCCGGCACGGCACACGAGGGGTGGGTGGCCAGCACCACGCCCGGCCGCCTTTGCCACAACAGCGGCGATGGTGACGCACCGCACCAGGTACTCATTTCAGGCGGAGACGGGTTCAGATCATCTTCACCGGTGTTGGCCGTGAGCAGGAATTAAACTCGGTTAGCCGGGTTTATAGCACAGCGCGCTAATCGCTGTGCCACTGCTCCCCACAAAGACACCCCATATAGCCTTAATAAACTTTTGAGGCAAGTGCTGTTAGTGATCACCTATAAATGCCGGCAGTGGGGAGAAAACACCACTCCCAGGTTCAAGGCATCAAGTCTGCATCAACTACACACAGTGCTTGTGGCAAAACATGCAAACAAACATGGCTCTGATAATGTAAACATTGTCTTTGCAGCCGATTGGCCTACACAGCTGTCTTTATGGCCTTGTCTCACCAGTACAACGACATACTTTTTGGTGCTTTCGGTAAAGTCACGTGGAGAAAAAATAAAATAAATCACCAATTATTGTATTTTATACCCACGTGACTTTACCGAAAAAAACAAAGAGTTTGGATTTCTGCAGTCACGAAAGCTTCAAATCAAGATAGTGCAAAGACAATACAAGGATCGGTGCACTTAAAGCTCGGGTCGAGCACTGTACCTTCTTGCTCGAATCAAGAATTAAGAAAATCAGAAGAGGCTTTACCCTTTCTGGCAATAAACAACCACACATACTCGCCACAAGTCCATGTGGGTTCATGCAGACTTGATGCCTTGCAAAACGTATTATCTATTTGGTGCTTAACACAACTCCTGTTTTATTGCCTGAAAATAAAGCAAAAACTAAACTACCGGCAAAAAAGGTCGCCATAGACACACACCGAGGAGCCAGTGAGGGGCGCTCGACTCTCGAGGGCCGGGTTCTCACCTGGATCAGGTGAAAGGTCGGAGAGCTCCGTGTGCAGGAAAGAGTCGTCGTTGTCGTCGTCCTCATCGAGCAGGGCCACCTGTGTACGGACACACGAGGTCAACCCAGACAAAGCTTACCCGTCTAGCCCATGGTAAGGCTTCATAATCGAGGTTTTTTTGGGTTAAATCGTGTAAATATCAACGATGTTAGCTGACTCTCTGAGTTGCTTTACTAGGTTGTATTGACAGGCTGGATGTCCTACTCGCTCTGTCACCAATGCATCCTTGACATGCTAATCTCTCACAATACAATGGCCACTTCCACAGCCTCAGGGAGACGATATCGAGCCCTGCCCTCTTACCCTGAGTTGTCTTTCTCTGTGTCTCTGTGTTGTGTCTCTCTGCTTGTGTGTCTGTGTGTCTCTGTGTTGTGTCTCTCTGCTTGTGTGTCTGTGTGTCTCTGTGTTGTGTCTCTCTGCTTGTGTGTCTGTCTGTGTGTCTCCGTGTCTGTGTTTTGTCTCTCTCTCAAATTGTGTTCTACCTGATGACGACTGCTTGTATTGCAATCGAAACGTCGTATTCTATTATTTAATTTATTTTCTTTCTACATGACTTCGCCAAAAGAACCAAAGAGTAATTCCTGCAGTCACGAAAGCTTCAAATCATATATGGTCCGAGTTTGGGTTGCATTGAGAAAGTGCCACGACTGTGACTTGCCTTTAATATACCTGTGTTTCGCTATGGGTCTCAATGTGTCTCTGTATCTCTATGGGTCTCTATGAGTCTCTATGTTGTATCTCTATGGGTTTACTATGTGGTCCATAGTTTGAGTTGCATGCCCACAATCACACTCTCTCTCTCTCTCTCGCTCTCTCTCTCTCACCGCTCCCAGCTCCAGCTCGACCTCCAGGCAGGAGCAGCAGACCCCGTGTGGTGGCGCCCAGGAGTGGCGCAGGCAGCGAATGGCGAACCACGCCGCGTAGCCACAGAAGCCCATGCTCAGCAGCGCCGTCACCAGCAGGGCCGCGTTGGCGCCACGCGCCAGCTGGTCGTGTGCCGTGTACTGCGATTGGTCAGCGAGGTGGCAGCGGTGGCACCCGTGTCATTCACAGCAGCAGCAGTCTTTTTTACATTTTTTTTATTTCATTATTATTTTTCAATTATATATATAATTTTTTTCCCTTTCATTGATTATAATTTATGTTCTTTTATTATATTTTATTATTATGAAATTTGTTAGTATAATACATGTATTTTTTTACCAGGTAAGGCCCCACCGAACTATCCGTAGCTCTTTTTCACACAAGTGACCTGGCCATCACAAACGATAGGTCAACAAAAGCGGCTTCTCATCATCGTCGTCATGTAGACATTTATAGCCTGCAGCGATTCCCAATGTGGGGGGAGGGGGTGGAACCTGGAGTACACGGAGAAAAATTCACGCGACCACGGCGAGAGAGAGCGAGAGAGACACGCAAACCCCAAATATACAACAGGAATCGTCAGGGTTGGGGTCGAAACCACGACGACCTACTGCACACCCAGGCGAGGGAATTAACATCTCACCACCGTGGAGCCCATTGACCAAGCGACCTCTCTATTTTATTTTGTTTCACCACCGCACAACGGTGCCGTGCCGAGCCAGCCCGGGTTGTTTTTTTCCACTGCGGTGGCCAAGCCGTGCCGCGAGCGAGCGTCCGCTCACCTCGTTGAAGACAAAGATGTCCATGCTGGAGTGGATGTAGGCGAGCTCGTCGCGGCTGAAGTGCAGCGTGAGGGCGGCGTAGACGAGCACCGCGAGGCAGGCAGCCGCGGCGCTGAGGGAGCCCAGCAGCCACGCCAGCACCTACACACACACACGCGCGTACACACACACACGTACACACACGTACACACACGTACACACACGCACACACGCGTACACACACACAGGCGTACACACACACAGGCGTACACACACGCGTACACACACACACGCACAAAGATCACCTGTATAGCCTGTATAGATTGTTGGGGCAAGTGCTGTTAGCGAGCACCTATGAAGACAGGCACGGCTCACGTGGGGGTGGGTGGCCAACACCACGCCCGGCCGCCTTTGTCTCCCCAGTGGCGATGTTTACACACCACGCCAGGTACTCATTTAAGGATGAGTCGACCTAGAGGAGGCCCAGGACCGGTTCAGATAACCATCAATGGCGTTGGCCGTGAGCTGGAGCCGAACCTGGGTTACTGGGTTCAGAGCGACGCGTGCTAACCGCTGCGGCACCGCTCCCCACTATACACACCACCACAACAGCTCCCATTCACCGCTAAGTCAGCAGTGACGTCACCGTGGCACTTGTGCCAGGTGCATTTTGAGGCCACGCGAAGTGTCAAAGGCTCGCTGGCAGAAGGTGATGGGACCAACCCAGGTGCCATGGGTTGGCTGATTGAGATGACTGGAAGATGCACCAATTGTGCTCCCCAGCGTGCCGACTTTCTGCGTTTTATTTGCCCGGCGCTCTGCTCGCTGTTGTGAGCGTCACTCCTCTGCCCTGCGACTGCCTCCAACTGCTCAGTAGCGTCCTTCACGAGCCTCCTCCACAGAAGCCAATCATGACACCGCTGGTACCATTGTTCGGCAAGTCCACTCAGCTCCAAATCCTTCTGTACCAACAGCCCACATCCCTATTATTTGGCAGTTTCCTGATACGAGTGTCCACCACTCATGAAGCCAGAACCAGTCCATGGGACATACTGTATTCCACACACGTCCAGGCGGTACCGGTACAGTTCCCAATAGGTGAGTGGCAGCCTCTAATCCACAGTGAGTGTTCGAACATTCCACATGGCCACTTGCAGTGACTTTTTGCTGTTTCTGGAGGAACCCTGAGGGTGCAGATTCAGTCTCCTGGCTCTGCGAAATGGGGGTTTGGCCAGGAATACGTCATAAACACCTGTACCCTGCGGGGCGTCCAGCACAAGCTTAGTTTGATATTTAAATCGTGGGTTTGTGGTAATTGAAATTAAGGTGGAGGGGTCTCCAGCCCTGGTAGGTAGGAGATGTTAACTACCTCGCCTGGTATACAGGAGGTCGTGGGTTCAATCCCAACCCTGATGCCTGTTTTATATTTGGAGTTTGCTTGTCTCTCTCCCCATGGTTGCGTGGATTTTTCTACGGGTTCTCTGGTTTTCCCCCTCCACATTTAGAATCAACATCACGTCTTTAGAGCATTTGGCCGCTACAAAATTCCACGTGATGATAGGCCACATAATTGAGCTATCATTTATGATCGCAAGGTTGCTTCTGAAAAAGATCTACATAAATTTCGATTTAAAGCTTTCGTGACTGTAGTGATTCATCTTCTTGGTTCTTTCGGTAAAGTCACGTAGAAGGGAAGTAGTAAAATAATAAAAATAAAACATAATAAAATAATTCTCACGACGTTTCGGCCACAGCGCAAGCAGGGAATGGATTCTTTGCTCCGCTGCATTGGCATATTTTGTTTCTTCCTCTTAGTATCTTTCACACGACGGTCAACGGTACAATGTATAATAACAAATAGTATAAAAATTTATTTTCTTAATACAATGTACAAAGTAATATATAGTATCGTAATTGTATAGTGAATATACAGCAGTGTTATATACATTAGGGTGGGTAGAATAATACATAGTGTAATATTACAATGGATAAGGTGGTTTATAGCAATACAGTATGTAATTTAATGTTGGGTTTGTCTATAGCAATATATAGTACGGTGTAGACTCGTGTGATGTAAGAGAATAAAGTTTAGATGGAAGCATATTGTATTTTTTACGACGTAGAATTGTAATGTATTACTTACTGTTAGTAACTCAGCTTATTGTAGAGTATATTTAATATAATGATGATACTATGTAGTTTATACTTTAGTTGTTTACGTGGTGGTTTTAGTTACTGCAGCTCCATACTATTAACACTTCTTACCTTTATTAATGCTACCCCTATCCTCTCCCTGTGATGCTGCTAATCCTGCATAATCCACGGGCAAAGTAGCACTAATCACATACCTGCATTTCCCATATCCCCTCCGTTGGATGCTGCTAATCCTGCATAATGCACGGACATAAGTAGTACTAATCACATACCTGCATTTCCCCTATCCCCTCCGTTGGATGCTGCTAATCCTGCATAATGCACGGACATAAGTAGTACTAATCACATACCTGCATTTCCCATAAATATGCTAAATTCCTCTTGATATGCAAATTATTTTGTCAAGGCGCCCTTCCCCCCCCCCCTTCCAACCCAGCTTATATATATGCTCCAAGCACGTGTGCTGTTTCATTCAGACTCTGTCGCCTCGACAGACCTGGTTTCACCTGAGGACGGCTGCTTGCGTTGTGGCCGAAACGTCGTGAGAATTATTTCATTATGTTTTCTTTTTATTATTTTACTACTTCCCTTCTACGTGACTTTACCGAAAGAACCAAGAAGAAAGATCTACATAGCTTAGTGGGCCTTACCTGGTAAAATAGAAGTAAAAACAAAAGTGTTTACATCCAGATCTCCCCATTGGCCACTGTGGTGGCTGTAAGTGGCATTACTCATGACCACCGGCAGCGTTACCGACCGGCATTACCGATGAGATGCAGGTTGTGTTTGCACCTGCCCGGGCCCACTAAACACACCAAAGATCCCCCATGTAGCCTTGAACAGACTATGAGGACAAAGAGGGGACGCCCAGGACCAGTTCAGATAATTGTCACCGGTGTTGGCCGTGAGCGGGAATTGAACTCAGGATCGTTGGCTTCGTAGCACAATACGCTAACCGTTAAAGCTATTACTCCCCATCTGCAATGACACACATGCACGCACACACGCACGTACGTGCACACACGCACGTATGCGCACACACGCACGTACGCGCACACACGCACGTACGCGCACACACACGCGCACGCACCACGTTGATGTTTTTGTTGAAGCCCGCGGAGAGCGCGAGGACTCCGGGCACGGCCAGCAGCTACGGACACAGGGCAGAGGAGGAGGAGCGTCAGGCGCGGCTACGTTCGAGTGAGCGACATCCACACCCACGCATACAACAACGACGATGACGACCACCATCATCAGAGGCTTCGCAATGAGTCTATGGAGAGACACCTCTCTTCAACCGTGAAGGTGCGAGCATAATTGGGGGAGGGCGAGACTCTGGTTGTGGCTGTTGGGAGGGAGGGAGGGAGCATCGACTCCATCCTTCGGCTCATTCGGCAGAGTTCTGGCCGTTGGGCAAGAGGTTGGGCAGTGTGGAGGAGGAGCTTCCTCGACATCTGTGAAAAAGAGCTTCATAGCTCATCGGATTCCTCCAGAATAAATACAGATTCTGATTCTCATTCTCTTGCCATCATCTAAGCTCTCTCCTGCCCTCGTCACCTACACATGCTTCGGCTAGAGGGGGGCAGGGCTACCTGAGCGGTGGGCGGAGCTACCAGTGGTGGGTGGGGCTACTCGATGTGGGCGTGAATAACCATTGAATGGGCGTGATGGTGTCAGCGTGTCCGGCTCATAGCCATTTTTCGGGAGAAAGCACTGACGTTTACATCATCATTATAGTCGTCATTGTCGTCTTTGTCAACATCATAATCATCGTCATTATCGTCGTCATCACAATCATCATCATCGTCATCATCACAATCATTATTATCATCATCGTCGTCATCATCGTCGTCGTCATCATCATCATCGTCATCATCACAGTCCCTCGCAACGCGCGCCGTCCCGCTCACCGCGCCGGCCACGATGGGGATGCGTGTCTGCACGAGCGCCGTCTGCCGCCGCATGGCCATGTCGACGAAGCCGAGCGCGAGCACGGCACAGGCGAGCACGAGCTGCACCACGCCCAGCGCCAGCGCCACGGGGCTGTGCAGCAGGAAGTACACCGGGGTGGCAGAGGCGGCGGTGGCGCTCTTGGCCGAGTCGGCGAACCCGCCGAGGTCTTTCCTCCTCCCAGACCGCCCCGCGCCCTCGTCCCTCGCCATCGCCTGCTCCGTCACGTCCGGTAGCCGGGCGGCCATCTCTTCCTTCTGGTTGCCCAGTCGAGGGGTTACAGTGGGCGGGGGGGTGGGGTTGTTTGCTGGTTGGGGAGGAGGGTGGCTGTGGGAGTCAAGGAGGGGGGTAACATCCAGGGCCGAAGGTCATGAATGGAGGTGAAGGAGGGGAGGATTGACAGCAGAGGGCAAAGGGATTTGGGAATTGGGGAGAGGTTTTAAGGGTGATGGGATTGGAGCGAGGGATTGGGGTGAGCAGTAGAGGTGAAAGTTGATAGATGGATGTGATGGATGAAGGTGAAAAATGTTGGGTTCAGGGTTCAAGGGTGAGAGATTGAGGTAAGGGTTTGAGGGGTCAGGGTTCAGGAATGAGGGGAAGAGGTGAGGATTGTGGATATTGGTTGCGATTGGTTCATAGACACCACAGTCACTATATATGAGTCACAATACTGCGTCACCGCTGCCCACATGCACTTTAGAGGGTAACTACTTCCAACACTGCCCAGTAGCATCCTTCACGAGCCTCCTCTACAGAGGCTGATTTAGTTTTTTCTGGAAGACTTTGCTGTTTTTTCCAGGATTTTTCTGGTGTGTGTAGTCACTTTAAGATGTTTCTTGTTCATGTCTTTGTTTTGTTGCGGTTGCACCCGAGTCAAGAGCGGCATGGCTCACAGGGTTATACCTAATAAATTAAACTGAAACTGAAGCCTGTCATTGGCAAGTCCACTCAGATCTACATTCTCCTGTTCCACATCATTCCATCTTTTCTCTAGCCCGTCCCACGCCCGTTAAGCCCCCACTATCTAGCCAAGCAGAAACTGCTTGGACATGCGGTGGCTGGGCATGCAGGCAACATGACCCAACCAACGCAGGAGTTCACCAAAGGGAATGTGTCCAAATCTTTCAAGGATTTGTGAGCTCCTCACACAATCCATCCTAGCTAAACCCTGGATTGATCGTAGGTAGGCCAACCTGAATGTTTTTAACCTGCGCAGATGTTTATCCAAAGGACTCCATGTTTCGCAAGCAAAGAACGGGGGGGGGGGGCATGAACGTGGCCAAGAAGACTCCACCAATAGGGAGTGGAGGGGGTAGAGATCAAATCCCAGGAAAGTGCTTTAATTTGCGAGACTGATGCTAAGGTCCCATCTCTTAGTAAGTTCTGCATCAAAGTATCCAACTAATGAGTCAGCGGCAACTCCCAGATCATCAGCATATGCAACATGGTTGACCAATAGGGAGCCATCCCTTTACTGCACCCAGGCATCGATCAGCCTCCCTTTGTATCTATACCAGATGGAAATTCCTCCGGTACAGCCATATAAAGCATCATGAACTACATAGTGTAAAAAATTGCGTTCAATTATGTAGAGGCCTGAGCACATCCCTGTCCCATTCCAATGTGAACAGGGAATGGGTCTGTCTCCCAACCATGCAACTTTACCTGGGCCTGCCCACCATCATGAAGGTCCTGCATGGTTGTGAGAAGAGGGTCATGGACCCCAAAAGCATTTAGAATAACCCAGAGCCCTGGCCTAGTAGTGTACCATAGGCCTTGACGAGGTCAATAGTGTAGAGATGGAGGTCACGTTGAAATTCCCTATACCTCTGCTGTAGCAGATAGACAGAATATGGTGTCAGTGCAGGACCGCCCCAGTCTGCAAGCCTCTCCTCAGTGTGCCTGGCAAGGCGATGAGAATCCTTGCCAGGACTTTTCCCAGTATACTGGGGAGGGAGATGCCCCTGCAGTTGTTACAATTTGTGTGGTCCCCTTTCTTAAAGAAGGGAAGCATCAGGGCATCCTTCCAATCCTGCGGAAGCCATCCGATGGACCAGAAAATAGCAGTGATGTCATATAGGGCAGCCTGCACACAAATACCACCCTCCCAAAAGGAGTTCACTTCAGAGATCGTCTCCGCCCAGGGCTCTATGTGGTCTCACGCTCTGGATCGCCTTTCACACTTCCTCAACAGATGGCAACGTCAGCCAGTCACTCTCAGGGTTTCCTACTTCCTACAATATTTGAGGTATTGCAATCCCAGCAGGGTCAATCCCAAATTACCCATGTTATATAAGCTCAGGATTTCCCCCTCCCCAAAGTCCTGAGCAAACCTGAAAACCCGTTTCTGGGGGTTAGAGCCCTGGCCTGATGTTAAGGACGAGGGCCCGCATTTGTAGTTCCATCACTATGTAGTCCAGCAGATGTTCTTGCTTGGACCCAGCATGCATCCATGATGTTATGTGGATGTTCCGATACCAGAACAATGTGTTGGTAATGACAAGCCCATGGTTTGCACAGAAGTTTAGCAGCATCCTTATCGCTGTTATTGAGCTGGTCTGGCCCATGCCTTCCGATCACTCCAGCCTAGGTGCAGGCATCTTGACCCATTCAGACATTAAAGTCACCCAACAGAATGACTCTATCCCAAGGGGCCACTTTAGCCAGCACATGAGACAGCAGGCTGTATAAGGTATCCGACTCAACGGCCTTGTCTGCATCCCTCCACTGATGTTCATCTTTGGTTGGGGCGCAAGCCACCACCCCCATTCCTCGCTTCCCGTTGATGGGGAGGCGAGCTCACAGCAGCCTGGGACTCACGGCTTCCTACACCCCGCTTCCATACCCCCTTTCATGTTCTTGTTCAAAAGCAGAGCCACTCCTTGTTGGGCAGCTTCCTGCCCCGAGTGGAAGACTGTCCACCCCTCACGATGACTGGAGCCATAACCAGTCCACAGGACCTCCTGTGCTCCACACAAATCCAGGCACGGGTCCAGTTCCCGACAGAGGAGTGACAGCCTTTCGTCCACAGGAGGCATTCGCACATTCCACGTGGCCAACCACAGTGGCTTTTTGTTTTTCGAGGAACTCCGAGGAGGGGGTGGTTCAGAGTCCCAACCAGAATCTATGTTTAGACGATTGGAGGAGGAATCCTAATGAGCTTATGAAGCTCTTTTTTCACAGATGTCCAGTTGGGGCATGGGGTCAGAACGTTGCAACAACAAACAATACAAAAACACGATAATAATTCGAAATAGAGAAAAAAGGAATGAAAGTCACGAAATAAGAAATAAATATGAAGTACAGTAGCTTCTCGATGGGGAGGATGGAAGCAGATGATTCTAAATCACGGATAACTCATAAATACCAATTTTCTGCGGATATCGATGCCAAAAAACAATAATATAGGTGTCAATTATGTTTAAGTTTCTATGCCATCACACAGCTTCGTCAATGAAAACTCACAAAATAACTGATCAGATGAATCACTCAAAATGAAGCACAACTGACGAGTTTGATTGGTACTCTTTCGATTTAGAACGAATACTAACGATCTGATCGATGCGCGTGCTCAACAATAACACTTTTCCTGCTCCCGTGCAGAAGATTCGGCCCACTAAGTGGACACGAGCAGAGCCACGCCAATCAACAACAATCAAACTCCACCCGCTGCTGTAAAAACATGCAACTACTGTATTGTAGAGGAGATCACCTTGATTTCGGAATAACTGGAGCAGATATTTGTTTGGTTTAAGCACGTAACTTGTAATAAACATTTCCAAGTATAACAAAGTATAACTGTTTTTAGATTATTGATTTGGGCTTAAGGGAAAATCTACAAGTTCTTAATTTATGTCAAAATCTCAGGTGCACGGTAAATCCGCAAATCGGATAAACCATAAGTGGATAATCGAGTCTACTCTGTATACGTTCTATTTTTCAACAGTCTCGTTTCGCCATGTGGGGTTTGGCAATGGGGCGTCATGAACGCCCATCCCTCTGGGGCCTCCTGCACAAGATAGGTTGGGTGTTTCCACCGTGGTATTTGATAGAAAATAGCAGAGGTGGGACAAAGTCATTGTTATGCAAGTCCAAGTCGAGTCTGAAGTCATCAAATTCATGACTCGAGTCTGACTCGAGTCCAAGTCACATGACTCGAGTCCACACCTCAGAGGTGGGACAAAGTCATTGTTATGCAAGTCCAAGTCGAGTCTGAAGTCATCAAATTCATGACTCGAGTCTGACTCGAGTCCAAGTCACATGACTCGAGTCCACACCTCAGAGGTGGGACAAAGTCATTGTTATGCAAGTCCAAGTCGAGTCTGAAGTCATCAAATTCATGACTCGAGTCTGACTCGAGTCCAAGTCACATGACTCGAGTCCACACCTCTGGAAAATAGTACCAGCTCCTCACACTGAACACTAATCTCGCGACATACACACAGTCTTACACACCCCCTGCTCACGCTCACTTCAGCCTCACCTCAGCCTCACCACACTCACCCCATACTCGCCACACTCACCCCATACTCACCACACTCACCCCATACTCACCACACTCACCCCATACTCACCACACTCACCCCATACTCACCACACTCACCCCATACTCGCCACACTCAGGCCAACCTCACTGCCTTCACCCTCACACGACACTACGTCTCACACTTACAACACACGATACACCACATATTACACTATATACTACACGAATACACACCATATTTTACAACACACTGCTATATTTACAACATTACACACTACTATATGCTATGCACGACACTGTTACCACAAACTACTGTACATACAATAGATACATGAACTAACACAGCCACGATCGTCACTCAGTGGCTGTGACGTCATCACAGCGCCAGGCTAGGTGCACTCTGAAGCCACGTGAAGTGTCGAGGGCTCTCACCAGAGGTCACGGGACAGACCCCAGGTGCCATGGGTTGATACACAAAGACCCCCCGTGTAGCCGTCACAGACTGTAGGGGCAAGTGCTGTTAGCGAGCACCTATTAAGGCTAGAACGGCACGCGAGGGGGTGGGTGCCCAGCACCACGCTCGACCGCCTTTGTCTCCCTCGTGGCGATGCTTACTACACACCGCACCAGGTACTCATTTGAGGCTGATTCAACCTACGGGAGGCCCGTGACCAGTTCAGATAATCGTCACTGGTGTTAACCGCGAACAGTAATCGAACTCAGCTCGCCAGATTCGTAGCGCAGCGTTCTAACCACTGGACCAGCGCTTTCCCATACAAAGACACACACACCCATATACGTACACTGACTACACACATGACTGAAACACACACATATAGCGGGCACAATAAATACATTTTAAGGGGCCGTCCATAAATGACGTCACGCAATTTTGGATGATTTTTGACCCCCCCCCCCCCCTTCGTCACACATCGTCACAAATGTATGACCCCCCCTTAGGTGCGTGACGTCATTTATGGACGGCCCCTAACCACTTAATGCGAATTATATGGGTTTTTTTTAACCCACATCACCCGTGCCAGGCTAGGTGTACGGACACTACTACAAAGACCAACGCATCTCCTGGAAGTACTTACGTCACCTTTACACTTCAGCCACTTGAACATAATATAAATAATTATACAACGTTTAAAAGTAAATAAATCAGTGAGACAACAATACACACGCGAAATAAAGACCCCCACCGTATAATCTAAACAGACCGTTGGGGCAAGTGCTGTAAGCGAGCACCTATGAAGGCTGGAAAGGCACACGAGAAGGTGGCTGGGCCAGCACCACGCCCGACTGCCTTTGTCTCCCTCGGGGAGGCCCAGGACCTATTCAAATAATCGTCACTGGTGTTGACTGAGAGCAGGAATCGAACTCGGCTTACCCGGTTCGTAGCGCAGCACGCTAACCTTTGCGCCACCACTCTCAACATACACACACACAAACCTGTACCACACACACATACCTGTATCACACACGGACCTGTACACTCACCTGTACACTCACTCACCTGCATACACCTGTGGTTGTCACGAACCAAATGCCTAAACCACAAATCTCTTCCGTGACTGACGACATCAACACACGGACGCACGCGCATAGTTACACATACATACACGCACACATACACACTCACACACCTA